TGATTGATATTTATCTAAAAGAGGTAGAAACTTAGGCTCACGGAAAAACCTGCAAATGGTTGTTTATAGCAGCTCTAGTCTTGAATCTCGAAGCTCAGAGGTGACTGAGATGGATAAACAGATTTGTCAAGACAATGGGAGATCATTTAGTACTGTCAGTGAGCTATTAAGCCGTGAAAAGACATAGAGGAATGTTAGTGAGGGGAAATAACAAAGTGAGAGAAGCCCATATGCAAGGATACAGGTGAGAGAGAGACGACTAGACAGAGTACAGGGGGCAGATGTGACAGTGAACCTATTCTTAGGGTACAGGATGGCAGACGTGTGGAATCTATTAACAGTACAAGCCCCAGAGTGAACCCTAATGTAAGCTGCAGACTCAGAGCAACACTGATGTGATTGTGTGGATTCCTCAGCTACAACAAAGAGCCCGGGAATGTGGTCCAGGGGTAGACTGTTTGCCTAGCAGGTGAACACACACAGACACACACAGACACACACAGACACACACAGACACACACACACACACACACACACACACACGGTAAAGAATTCTAAAAAGCCATTGCTCTTTGGTAACAGTGGGGAGGCTAATAACAGTGGGGAGGGAGTCTGGGGACATGTGGGCACAGGAAATATCAGAGAAACATCTGTATCTGCTCAATTTTGTTGTGAATCTAAAACTACTCTAAAAAAATAAACTCTGGGCCAGGGAGATAACTAGGAGAGTGAAAGCACTTGCCATGTAAGCCTAATGACGGTTCAGATCCTCAGAACCCACTGCTGGAAATGGCAGCATGTGTCTGTAACCCCAGCACTCCTACAGTGACACGGGAGGCAGAGATGGGAAGAATATTACAAAGTAAAAGAGGCCCGTCTGAAAGGAACCATACAGGCCAGCCTTCCTGGAGTTATACAGCACAGCGGCAAATAACAAGAAATATCTTACTTCAAAATCAAATTGGCAGGAGAAAGAGAATCAATGCCCAAGGTCACCCTCTGACCTACACACGCACACACTATCAAATGCATACATAAAAGTAAATATTACTTTCTGATCATCCACAGTGTTCTGAAGGAGGTTTCCTCCTGAGAGATTTCTCATTTTCACGTGACAGTCTAATTCTAGTACGTAATGAACAGGGAGAAGGTTCCCAGGGTTATTTATAAGCCTGCATTCTCAGTCAACCTGTAAGAAATCCAGAGTCACATTCTAAGTGTCACTATTTCTACAGACTCACAATTGTTCTTACCCAAGGTTTTATATAGTGCAGACAACCAATAACCTTCCAGTGGAATTAATTTGGTCAGCATCATTTGAACTGACTCTTGTATAATCACCGTTAAACCACAGCAGACACGCATTCACGCACGTACACACGCACACATGTATATTCAGGATTAATGGCTCAAAGGGGAGAGATCATTTTGAAAACGGGAAAGTTGAGGTAGGTCATAATAAGCCTCTAAACACCATGCAAGATTACATGTTTAACTCTGGACAAATCACATGCTATGCTGGTATCCTTACTGCAGACTTAAAGCTGGGAGAATGGCGTGTTAACACTTGTCTTCTGGGGTAAGGCAGGAAACTGCAAAGGTTATTCAAATGTTCCTTTGCACGGAAACAATGCCGGATACCTGCCTCCCTCTTTAACCCTGACACTTTACTGATTTATAAACCATTTGGGGCCATCTAGTTAAGCCATAGAAAAATTTATAAAGGGTGCCTTGTTTTTAATTTAGCTTCTATGTTAGTACAAGAATTATTTAATTGCTAGAACTAGCTTTTCCTAAGCTCCTTTCTAGGCATTTTTTTTTAATGTTCATAACCTTACATTTGTTTATCCCTGTGTATGTCCACGACTGCACATACTACATTTGTGTGGAGGTCAGAGCAGTTTGTAGGAGAGAGTTCTCTCCCTCCACCAAATGGGTTAGAACTCAGGTTGTGAGACTTGATGGCAAGCACCTGTAAGCACTGAGCCTTCTCACCTGACCCAGTGTGCACTGTTTAAAAGGGAAGGTGATGCATGCTTTAATCCCAGCACTTGGGAGGCAGAGGCAGGCAGATCTGAGTTCAAAGTCTGCAACCTGGTCTACAGAGCACGTTCTAGGACAGCCAGGGCTATACAGAGAAACAGAAGCTTTTGGTTTGTATGCATGTAAACACAAAACAAACAACTGAGAATCAAGAGAACCCGACACTGAGAGAGACAAAAGATTGGTGGGGTACTAGGAGAGCTGAACAAAGGTAGTGGATGGATAAAATACACCACATAAATGTATAAAAATTTCAAAGAATTAAATAATATTTAAAAACCTGTTAGCTGTTAACTGTGAAGGAAGGGCCGTTTATTAATGTACGTTGTCAACAAAAATATCCTTTCTCCCAAACTTCCTTTTTCTTTGTGGGAAGGACACTGAGATAGAGTCTGATATAACCCAGGCTGGCCTCCCAGTCGCTATGTAGCCAAGGATGAGCTTGAACTTCTTGACCTTTCCCCGACATGCTAGGATTACTGCAGTGTCCAACCAGACTTCCTTCCTGGAGCTCCATTTTAACAACAGCTTTACTCGGCTTCCCATGTATTTGTAATTCTGATGGAACTGCCAACCTAAGAGGTCCTCTGTGACTGAATCCTCTTAGAACGCAGGGCAGTTTTTCCATTGACTCCCACCCAAGTCAGAGTTCCTTGGGTTCAGCGTCCCTCAGGAGGCTGCTGAAGTGCACACAGTCAAGTGAGCCTCCATCCCCTTCCACTCTGTCAGCACTTCGTCAGCAAGTTACACATCTCCATAGGGTCATTAAGAGGATTAAATGAGTTAATACCTGTCATGGGTTCCGAATGGAGCCTGGTAAACAGCAGATACCTAATGTTGTTATTAAAGAGTGAAGTAATTGTGAGCAGTTGACTCAGTAGAAGCAGATCAGGTGAGGAGAGATGAGACAGGACACATCCACACGGCACTAGTCTCCTGCTCTTCAGATGCTGCTCCCACCCACAGCCAAAGCCCCTGAGTTCAGCACTGGGTATGAAGAAACCTCTAAGCTGGTGGATGGTTCAGCAGGGGCAAGTTCTTGCCGTGCAAGCAAGTCAACGGAGTCTACTCACTGGAGTCCCAGTAAAGATGGGAGAACCAACTCATAAAGCCATCCTGTGACCTTCATGTGACCTCCCACCCTATGCACATGTGTACAACATAAGACATTTAAAAAAGTAATTTTAAAGCCTCCATTGCTTCTCTGGGGAAGGGGAGGGTTATATGAAGGTGGGATAAAGAATCAAAGGGTTCCCCTAAGATCTGCACTCAGTCCCATTCCTATTTAGCGAGTGCGTCTGCCATGCTCAGGCTGCTGCAGACAGAACTCGCACTGTTTCCCCTTCTCTGTTGTTCTTGTTTGCTTGCTTTGTTCTGGGAGAGACTTTGTTTGTTTATTTATTTACTGAGACAATGCTATACTTGCATCAGGGAGAGACTGACTTACTTGATTTATTTATTTATTTGCTTATTGAGACAATGTCACTATATAGCTTAGGCAGTCCTAGAACTTATGGCAATCCTCCTGCCTCACCTCTGTGCTAGGATTATGGGCACACCCCACCTTGATTCCTGGCTCCCTTTCTTTTTAAATAGATCTCAGCAGCTCTGTTGAGGTTCATTCGATGCTTCTCCTCTCCGTGCAGATGCTCAGTTTCTCAGGTTGCTGATCAGCTATGGTTCTGTAGCTTCCAACTGTTCTGTCTCCTTCCCCAGCTCTCACCTCTACGAGCACACATCTGCACTGTTGATGCCTACCGACAGTTTCCAGAACAGGGCAATACACTGTCTTTTTTTTTTTTTTTGCTTTTTTGAGACAGAGTTTTCTTGGCTGTCCTGGAACTCACTCTGTAGACCGGTTTGGCCTTGAACTCAGATATCCGCCTGCCTCTGCCTCCCAAGTGCTGGGATTAAAGGCGCGTACCACCATTGCCAGGTGAATGCCTTGTCTTTATATTGGGCACCTCTGTGTTTTGTTTTTGTAATGAGTCTGTTATACACAACTAGTGTCCGTGTGTGTGTGTGTGTGTGTGTGTGTGTGTGTGTGTGTGTGTGAGTGTGTGTGTGAATTCTTTATAAGTGATGGGTTCTTGGGACCGAGTTTATAGCTCAGTGGTAGAACCCTTGCCTAGCCATGTGCAAGGCTCTGGGCTTGCTTGCCAGTACTGAATTAAAAATAGATAATAGATAGATAGGTAGGTAGATAGATAGATAGGTAGATAGATAGATAGATAGATAGATAGATAGATAGATAGATAGATAGGAAGAATGCCAGGAGTACCAGATGTCTGTAATCCCAGCACTTAGGAGGTAATCAGTCATTCTGCTATGCCTGCATTTGGAAGCTAGCTTGGGCTACATGAGGTCCTCATCTCAACAGACAAGTAAACTGCTTGCCTAGCATACAAAAAGCCCTGAGTTTGATTTTCCAGCACCACATTAACTGGGTGTGGTGACACATACCTATAATCCCAGCATTTGGGAACTGAGAGCAGAAAGAGCAAAAGTCCAAAACCATCTTTAACTAGATAGCAAGTTCGAGACCAGCCTGGGCTATATGATTACATAAAAGCCCTGTATCCAAAAAAAAAAAAAAGGAAAGAAGGAAGGGAGGGGAGATTGATACTATGCGTGTGAAACACTTGGGAGCTTCTGCACTGCTACACTCCTGAAGGTGCTGGGTGGAGTACGTTGTTTCGAGAGCTATACTCTCATGCGTTGTCCTCTCCATCTTGACATTTGGCTGTTACTGTTTCTTTTAAAGCGTCCTAGATAAACTGGCAGATGCAAAACAGAAACCTATGAAAATCAAAGTGGAAAAGCCCAGAGCACCGCCCCTGCTACACAGGAGCAGCTGTGACGTGCTCGTGATGCAAAGGGGGCAGTGTGTAAGATGGATGGATGGATTCTACAGCTGTGTCCTGCCCCTCACTGCTTCTAATTTCCTTCTCTGGTAGGTCGTGGACTTTGTAGCAGCAACACTGCAGAGAGCATGTGCAGGCCTGGCTCATGAGGCAGAGAGCACCGTGGGATCACAAACACTGAGCATGTCCATGGGGCTGGTGGCTGTCATGCTAGGAGGAGCTGTTCAGGTGAGTGTAAGTATGAGCAAAACTTGAATGTCACATGGGGAAGAGGACCTGCCTCCCTTCTTCCATACCTTCATGGAACGCAAGAATGGATAGTGCACCCAGGGGAACTGGGATGGCCAAGTTGGGTTGCTGATGAGAATCACCTCCAACATAGATGACAAGCATGCCACTTCATACTGACCTGCGCAGATGTCCCCGTCAAAAATGAGCTTGTTTTGGAAACAGTAAGCAAAGTGTTTTGCGCCTGAGGCAGACACTCAGTTCTCTGGCTCCCACTCTTCAAAGAGTTGGTGGGGAATCCTTAGCAACCTCGCGGTTGCTCAGACGGCATCAGTTCCAAAGCTTCAGTTTAGCTCGGGATCTGTTGTGGAGCACAGATGTGCAGGACGCTTAAGCCTGTTGCCACTTTTAAGAGTTTTGTTTTTTGTTTGAGATAGAATCTCATGTAGTCCAGGCTGGCCTTGAATTCAATCTGACATTGTTGATGTTCCTTTCTTTTTACATAATTAACGTGTAGTTTTTTTTTGTTTTTTTGGTTTTTTTGGTTTTTCGAGACAGGGTTTCTCTGTATAGCCCGGGCTGTCCTGGAACTCACTCTGTAGACCAGGCTGGCCTCGAACTCAGAAATCCGCCTGCCTCTGCCTCCCGAGTGCTGGGATTAAAGGCGTGCGCCACCACCGCCCGGCTTTTTTTGTTTTTTTTTTTTAAGATTTTATTTACTTATTTTATATTAGTACGCTGTCGCTGTCTCCAGACACACCAGAAGAGGGCATTGGATCCCATTACAGATGGTTGTGAGCCATCATGTGGTTGCTGGGAATTGAACTCAGGACCTCTGGAAGAACAGTTAGTGCTCTTAACCGCTGAGCCATCTCTCCAGCCCCTAATGTGTAGTTTTTAAGATCTATTTCTGTTTTTAAGTTATATATGTGTGTGTGTGTGTCTGTGTATGTGAGCATAGGTGCCTGCTAAGACTAGAAGAGGGAGTCAGATCCCCTGCAGTCAGATTTACAGTGAGCTGCCTGACATGGGCCCCGGGAGCCAAACACAGGCCCTTTGCAGGAGCCATCCACTGAGCCATCTCTCCGGGTCCGAATTATAGTTTTAAAAATGTATTCATTCAGACATTATTGCTTGCATATTTGCCACATGCCAGACATTGAGCTAAAAGATCTGAGAATATAGCAGTGGGCAAGGCAGACATGACTTATATCTCATACGACAGCCCAGGAAGGGAGACACACACAGAATGACTATTTAAAATAGGATTAGAATTGATTAGAATACCATTCAAGAAGAGGGAAGGGAACTGAGGGGACATAACATCTAGGCTAGGCCAAGAGGTCTCCAGTGAGCAGATGGGATTTAACTAGACCTGAAGAGGAATATGTGTTTAAGTGGGTAGAACCTGTGGAAGGAAGCCTTTCAATTAAAGAAACTCTTACAAGGCGCAGAACCAGGGAAAAGCCCTGGGACAGCACTGTCGAAGGAAAAGGAGAGGCAGGGCTAGACCATGCTCGTGAGGGGGACTGGTTAATTGGGTGACATATTAAGCAAGGAGACTGCAAGAAAGTAGGACAGTCTCAGAGTGGGTATTACGGACTCAAGCTCCATACCCGTGAGTAGGGAGCCCTCGGGGAATACATTTTGAGTTTGAGCATTCAAATCTGGCTTGATTCTTTGACATAGTAGATTTTTGCCTTTCTCTAGACTTATTTTTCCCCTCTGGTTTTGGAGATCAAACCCAGGGCCTTGCACTTCCCCCTGTGTTACATCTCCAGCATTCTAGCAAGCATGGCCAGCCAGCAGACCACGGACGGCAGCCTGTGATCCAGACAGCATTATATCTCAATGTCAAAAGGTGGGCCATTCCTGCCTGTTCCTAAAGAGAAAAAAGATTTTTATCTGGGCTAGTTGTCAATGTGAATCCCATTTCTCACTGGATTTACATTCCTAATTTTATATTTTGTATGTCATCTGAAAAAAATAAGCTTTTGGCTAAGATTCCAGAGTCATATAAAATGTAACAAGGAAGGGTTAACAGATGGAATAGCTTAAGTTGGATTGTTCCTGGATTTAATTAGCTTAGTTGAGTTTTGTTTTCTGATTGAATATTAATTTGGATAGTGTCTATAAATTGAAAGCATAGATTGTGTGTGTGTTTTGTATCTTCTTATTTAGTACTTATTTCAGATAATAGAACAAATGGAAAAGAAATGACTGAAATCTCTTGTCTGCTTTTCTAGAAGCCCATCGTTGGAGGCTGCAGTATGTACTGGCCATGCCTCGCTTGCTGCATCTGCACAGCCCTTGCCCATCCTTGCCCTCCTGTGAGCCATCCTGACTCATTCCCACTTCCTGGGCTCCCCTGATTTTGCATTTTAAGTGAATATATACACATCACCTCATTTACTTTTGCCCTAGATTTGTAATTTATTGTTTCCTGCTTGATTCATGATTTATAAGAGCTTCTCCTGCTCCTACTTCTTCTCCTCCTTCTCCACTTATTTTTTTCTTTCTAGTTTTCTCTGTGTAGCCCTGGCTGTCCTTGAACTTGCTCTGTAGACCAGGCTGGACTTGAGCTCATAGATCTGCCTGCCTCTCCCTCCCAAGTGCTGGGATTAAAGGTGTGTACCACCACTATCTGGCAAAGGCTTCTTTTTTTTTAAATTTTAGATTTACTTTATTTATGTGTATGAATGTTTTGCCTCCAGGTAAGTATGCGTACCATGTGTGTGCCTGGTGCTCCCGCAGGTCAGAAGAAGGTTGTAGGATCTCCTGGATCTGGAGTTTGGATGGTTCTGAGCCACCATGTGGATGTTGGGAATTGAATGCAGGTTCTCTGGAAGAGTAGTCAGTGCTTTCAACAGCTGAGCTATCTATCTCTCCAGCCTATAAGCCTTTTTAGTAATGCTGGGTTTTGACTTGTATTCACAATAAAGTCTCGCTTGAAGATCATGGTCCCAGTTGACTATAGTCACTCTTAAGTCTTTGCTTTAGAACCTAGAACATTTTCCCTGTTAGGAGGCATTGTTTTGGCTAATGAAACAGAATCTAACAGCATCAGGCCTTTCTTCATTCCTTTCTAATTCATGTAAGTAAGGTGATTATTAAAACATCGTGTCTGGGAAGAGGAGTTAATTTGGAGAAAGTGTAGGTTTAAGATTGCTAACAAGATGACTGTAATTCCACATTCATTTTCTAAATTCCATACTTGGTCATCACTAAAGTATTATGTTGTAGAGTCTTCCCTGTCCCCTCAAGAAGCAGTTTCTGCTTGTTATTGTAGAGCCTGTGGGCCTGCTATTGCTCTGGCTGGTGAAGCTGAGCAGACCTTTCTGGCCTTTCTTTAGGAAATTTGTCACCTAAAGGCAGGACTCCTAATCTTTAAGCCCAGATTTCATAGTGAGGTTCATTACTGAGAGACCAAAGGCACATCTTTCTCTAAAGGGACAGCCATCTTTAGCTTGTCCTTACACCATACTACCTAGGGTTTTGTTTTTTGTTTTTTGTTTTTTTTGGTTTTTCGAGACAGGGTTTCTCTGTGTAGCTCTGGCTGTCCTGGAACTCACTCTGTAGACCAGGCTGGCCTCGAACTCAGAAATCCACCTGCCTCTGCCTCCCAAGTGCTGGGATTAAAGGCGTGCGCCACCACCGCCCGGCTACTACCTAGGTCTTAATGTCTCTCCCCTCCTTTTCCTTTTCTCTCTCTTTCCCTTCCCTCTCTCTCTTCCTCCCTCCCTCTCTCCCTCCCTCCCTCCCTCCCTCCCTCCCTCCCTTCCTTCTTTCCTTCTTTTCTATCTTCCTTTCTTTGTCAAAGGCCATTGTTTAAACTCTTCATTTATATATATAAAAAAACGTTCTTCTGAGGACCAGCTCAGAGGCAGGACGTTCTTGTTGTTCTTGTAGGAGAGGCGGATCTGTTCACTTTGCCACATGGTGCCTCACAACCGTCTATACCTCCAGTTCCAAGGGACCTGATGCCTCTTCTGGTTTTCTTAGGCACTGCACTCATGTGGTGCACAGTCATACATGCAGTCAAACCTTGATATACATAAAATAAAACAAATCTCAAAAAAATTCTCATTGTAATAAGCATGCGCCTATATTTTAGGTGTAATTGATGAACATGTCAATGTCAGAACCATAGCAAAACAGAGACGTGTGGAACAGTGGTGAATAAACTGGAGGTCTGCCCCAGAGTGGGGAGGCCAGGAGTGAGTACTCCTGCTAGAGCCTGCTCATTCAGCAAGGAGAGTGAACTGGTTCCACTTCTGTCCTTTCCCTTCACTGGGCTGGATACTCTTCTCTATCCTTAATTCTTAATTCATTCTTAATAGCTGTTGCCTCTCAAGCAGGCACTTCCTGCTTATTACCCGTCGTTAGCAAGCCTGCTACAGCAGGTAGTAAACAGCATGGTGGACGACAATTGACAGGAAGCAAGAAGAAAGGAAGAGTATTTTAAACGAAGGAGGCAGTTTTGTTTTTAATACTTATCAAAGGGTGCAGACTTTTAAAGGTTTAAGAGCACTGCTGTCTCCTGTAATGAACACCCTTCAGTAGCCAATGGGTGTGTTTCCTACATTAGTCATGAGTGGACAGGGAAAGGAGATCCACACTTCGTGTGTTCACAGGCAGCTTGCTTGTTATCCTCTGGTAGCTCACACGTTTCTCAGAATTTCAAGCATTTATGGTAGATGATCACTGCCAGAAAAAGCCCTTGCTGAGCATAGACAGTTCCCTCAAGCAGGGCCCTGTGCAAGCTAAGCTCCTGCTCTGCCCTTTGCTTTAGCCCTCACCTTAGTTTGTATCTCGTGTGACCGTTCATACATCCAAAGCTACAGGAGATGTTAGATGTCTGCTCTGTCACTCTCTGCCTAGTCCCTCGAGACAGTCTCTCATTGCCTCTCCAGCCCTGAGATAACAGGCCCATGTACAGCTTCTTACACCAGTGCTGGGGTTTCAAACTCGAGTCCTCATGCTCACTCAGCGAGTGCCTTACCACCAAGCTGTCTGCTCTGCCCCGAATTTTACATCTTTAAAAAAAAAAAAAAAGATCTTCGATGGCTCAGGAGGCAAAGGCGTTTGCTGCACAAACCTGAAAACCTGAGCTCAGTCCCTCGGCCCTGTGTCAAAGCGGAAGGAGAGAGCCGAGGCCACAAGAATGCCCTCTAACCTGCACATGCATGAAGAGGCACTTGTGTCCCACAACCATGTGCATCCACAAGTACATGTGTGCATATACATGCACGATAAATACAAATACGTTTTTAAACAATCTTTCAGTTAGCTAAGGACTAGCTGTCTCCAATTTCTTTAGCTTTTGAGATTAAGCCATCTAAATATGGAATTGTCTTCATTATATTCATTTATAAACATTGTTTAAGATTTTCAGAGCCTTATATCATTTTTATGAAATGATTTCTATTGCTACCAGTGTCCTGTGAAAGGTTTTTTTCTTCCCCCTTTTAATGCCTGTTTTAAAGGACTACAGCACTAAATAAATGTTTCAAAGATCTAGAATCTGGCTAGGTATGGTGGTGCACACCTGTAGTCCCACCACTCGAGGGTCAGAGGAAGGAAGATCTCTGTGAGTTCAAGGCTAGTCTGGTCTTCATGGTGAGTTCCAGGATAGCCAGGACTCTGTAGAGAGACCCTGTCTTCAAAACAAAACAAAACAAAACAAAACAAAAAACAAATAAAAAGATCTAGAATCTTTAAGGACTGCCAACATCCAAAAGCATAGCAGAAATCAGTATTTTAAGAAAACATTTATTATTTATTTGTATGTGTGTAGACCTGTGTGTACATGTGTGTGCAACTGTGTGTGTACTGAGTGTGTGTGTACTGAGGCCAGAGCAGGCTATGAAGTGTCCTTCTGTATCACTCTCTACCCATTGCTTTAAGGCAGGGTCTTTTTCTGAACCTGAGGCACACGGTTTCTCTGCTATGCTAGAAGCCAGGGATCCTCCTGTCTCCGCCCAATTTGGAGCTGGGATTACAGAGATGCATGGAAAGTGTGGCTTGTTGTATGGGTACTAGGTTGTGAACTCCGGCCCCTCAGGATTAAAGGATGATTTTTAGGCATAATTTTATTTTTATACTCCAAACTATGACTTTTTATTTTATTTTTCTTTTGAGACAGCGTCACAGGCTGTTGTAGAACTCATTATGTAGACCAGTCTGGCCTTGAACTCAGGGTAGTTCTGCTCTAGCCTCCCCATTGTGATGACACACATGAGCCACACTGCCTGGATTGTAGCTTCTTGACTTTACAATCAGCTGTGTTCCAGATGATAATTCTGGGGGTCTTCCTTAAGTGTCTGTTTCAAGTGCAGGAAGTAATGGACACTCTCCCTCAGGGATACAGAGTGTTCTTGTTAACTTAGAAGGTGCCTATGTGTGGCCATGCTCAATACATCGTTAGCTGCAATTATGTAGCAAGTAGCTCTTGAGTGTTTGTCCGAGGTAGTGCTGAGCACACACGCCATGAACACGGTGTGACTGTTGCCCCTTCTGTGCACTTGGTAACATGGCCTACATTAGTTTTGACCTTCTATTTTTACATTTCCCTTTACAGTTGAAGTCAAGTGATTTTGCGGTCCTGAAGCAGCTGCTGCCTCTGTTGGAGAAGGTCTCTAACACATACCCTGACCATGTCATCCAAGAACTCGCTGCCGATCTCCGAATTACCATCTCCACCCATGGAGCCTTCTCTACTGAGGCTGTCAGCACAGCAGCCCAGAGTACCCTAAACAAAAAAGATCCGGAACAGAAAACAGAAGAACAGCGACAAACCAGTCATGACACATCCACAGAAGGAGCTCAGAACTGCCCTAAACAAGAGCAGAACCCCCGCAGAACAGGCCAAGGTTCCAGTGAGCCCTGCGCTGCCACAAGCCAGCCACCAGGACATATAACCACAGAACAGTTCCGGGAGGTTCTCTTATCGGCCTGTGATCCCCAGATTCCGACCCGGGCTGCTGCCCTCCGCACCCTTTCCCGCTGGGTAGAACAGAGAGAAGCAAGAGCCCTGGAGGAACAAAAGAAGCTTCTTCAGGTGAGTAGAAGACACTGCTAGGCACAGGGCACAGTGCAGGCAGCAGCCCAGGGCAAATATTCAACTCAGAGCCTTTGTTGTTTTGAGACAGGATTTCACTGTGGATCCCTGGCTAGCCTGGAACTTGTTCTATACACCAGGCTAACCCAGAACTCAGAGATCCATCTGCTCTGCCTCCCGAGTGCTGGGATTAAAGGTGTATGCCCTCATGACCAGCCCAATTCAGATATTTTTTTTAAAAACATTGATTTGTGTCAAGAGCTGTCTTGGATTATCCTCCAGGAGCTTAAATTGTTGAGAAGTTAGATTAAGGTAGGAAGGGTGTTGAGCAGAGTACCAGAGCTTTTGTATATAAGTAATGTGGTGGGTGACTGGAAAAAATGTGGGCAAGGCTGATTTTCAATTAGCTTTAGCAAAACAGCCAAGTGTTAGCATGTGAAAGACAGGCAGTGAGCTAGCATGAGCGAACTCCCAGAGCTGGGATGGTACCCATCCTAGGTAAACCCCATGTCTGATTGGGTCTGTCTTGGAGGAGCATTGTATCTAACTGGCTCTCCTCTTCTCCTTTGCCTCCATCACAGCACAAAGCTGTCCTGGGTATTCTAGACTGAGGTAGCAGTGTGCACACAGCATCTTTAGGATCTTCCCCTTTTGTGGAAGTCTTTGGGACTTGAGTGTGGTCTAGTTTAAGAACGGGGGTCGGGGGGGGGTGGCTAGAAACTACTGCCTGGGACCAGTCTTAGCTTCTTAGCGCACTCAACCCTTCTGAGCCTTGGTAGTGATGGCGGTGATCTATCTATGTGTCTAGTCCCCTTGGTAGTGACGGCGGTGATCTATCTGTGTCTAGCCCTCTGACTGCAAGTTGTAGCCCTGGTGGACATCTACTTTAGTTAGTATGGTACTGGAACTGCTGTATAGTTTGCTCTTTTGCAAACTACATATTGAATACCTGCTCTTTTTTGAGCCAAGCCATGTACTTTACTGAGACTGTCCCTCATCCTCACAACTGCAATATGTGTTCTCTTCATCCTGCAGATGAAGCACAGATACATGTCAAGGACTTTCTGTCAGGGAAATAATATTGAAACTCACAAATCTTCTTTGAGTAGCTGTCATCCCCAACTATCCATTAGTATGCTGCTTTAAATGTGTGTTGGGACCACCATTGCAATTTCCTTTAACTGCATGTAATCTTGATCTGCCACGTTCACCACATTCTGCCAATGGTTTTTAATAAGAAATGTAAATTGCTGGGGATACCCCACAAATGTATCTCTTATTTGTATGGGATATGCACATGTGTGGATGTGTGTTTGTGTGTGATGTGCATGTGTATGGGTGTGCATGCATGTGTGATTATGCATGCATGTGTGTGCATGTGTGTGTATGTGTGTGTATGTGCATGCATGTGTGATATACATGCATGTATGTGTGTGTGCTCACGTGCACAAGCATATGTGTGTGTTTGCATGTGTGTGTTTGTGTGGGCATGGATGTGTGTTGTGTATGTGTGTGTGATGTGCCTGTGTATATGAAGTGCATATGTGCGATACGTGTGCCTGTGTGTGATGTGTGTGTGTGTGTGTAAGTGTGTATATGCACATCTGGAGGCCAGAGGTCAGCATCAAGTGTCTTCCTCTACCACTCTCTGCCTTATTTTCAGGCAGTTTCTCACTGGACCTGGGACTCACTGGTTGGTTAAGCTGGCTGGCAAGCTTATATGATGCTTCTGTCTCCACCTACCAGTGTTGGGCTCTGAAAAAGGATACAAAGATCTTCAGGTCTTCATGCTTACACACAGACTTTTTCCCCATTGGCTCATCTTTTGAGTCTCTAGTTTTCTCTTGTTCTCTTCTTCCTCCCCCCTTCTTTCTTTTTC